AACTTATGCATAATATGGGTATAACTTGTGACACACAGTAAATAACTTATGTATAATATGGGTATAACTTGTGACACACAGTAAATAACTTATGTATAATATGGGTATAACTTGTGACACACAGTAAATAACTTATAGAAGATATATATAACTGAGATCTGAAGAAGTACATACCGAATGCCCACACATCACTTTTGTGAGAAAATATTCGCTGTTGAATACATTCTAAAGCTAACCACTTGATTGGCACCTGGAAATTAAAAATATAAATTAACACAATACAGACAACATAATAAAACAGCTGACAATGACAACATTAAATATATATTAACACAATACAAGCAACATAATAAAACAGTTGACAATAACAACATTAAATATAAATTAACATGATACAGGCAACATAATAAAACAGTTGACAATGACAACATTAAATATAAATTAACACAATACAGGCAACATAATAAAACAGCTGACAATGACAACATTAAATATATATTAACATGATACAGTCAACATAATAAAACAGCTGACAATAACAACATTAAATATATATTAACAGGATACAGGCAACATAATAAAACAGTTGACAATAGCAACATTAAATATATATTAACACAATACAGTCAACATATTAAAACAGCTGACAATGACAACATTAAATATATATTAACACAATACAGGCAACATAATAAAACAGCTGACAATGACAATACATTAAATCACCCTTTATAACAGTGATTCACCAGATAACTCTTTGGAACCAAATCAAATTACAATGATATAAACTTGACATGATGAGGGTTAATCACTCTTTATAACAGTGATTCACCAGATAACTCTTTGGAACCAAATCAAATTACAATGATATAAACTTGACATGATGAGGGTTAATCACCCTTTATAACAGTGATTCACCAGATAACTCTTTGGAACCAAATCAAATTACAATGATATAAACTTGACATGATGAGGGTTAATCACCCTTCATAACAATGATTCACCAGATATCTCTTTGGAACCAAATCAAATTACAATGATATAAACTTGACATGATGAGGGTTAATCACCCTTTATAACAGTGATTCACCAGATAACTCTTTGGAACCAAATCAAATTACAATGATATAAACTTGACATGATGAGGGCTAATCACCCTATATAACAATGACTCACCAGATAACTCTTTGGAACCAAATCAAATTACAATGATATAAACTTGACATGATGAGGGTTAATCACCCTTTATAACAATGACTGTGTTGCTGTTATTACTTATAACAATGTTGCCCATTGAACTAAATCCTCATTCACTGATTATCTCCATTCAAGGCTTTGTTTATGAACTTGTAAATGGTATAACGAGATATAATTGGGTTTGTCAGAATGTAAACTAAGAATGTACAGTAGAGTGTTGAGGACAGTAACTTAAGTAAAAATGTACTACTAGTAACTGAAAGAATACTTTAAGAGAACCCTCTAATCTGTAAATTGAGTGTTGAGGACAGTAACAGAAATAAGAATGTACAGCAGAGTGTTGAGGACAGTAACTAAACTAAGAATGTACAGTAGAGTGTTGAGGACAGTAAGTAAAGTAAGAATGTACAGTAGTGTTGAGGACAATAGCTGAAGTAAGAATGTACAGTAGAGTGTTGAGGACAGTAACAGAAATAAGAATGTACAGTAGTGTTGAGGACAGTAACAGAAATAAGAATGTACAGTAGAGTGTTGAGGACAGTAACAGAAGTAAGAATGTACAGTAGAGTGTTGAGGACAGTAACTGCTGTACATTCTTATTTCTGTTACTGTCCTCAACATCTTATCATCATATGCATTAAAATTGTGAAAACATTTGAAGAAAATACAATAATGAAAACAAATCTTACTTTTTCACTCAGAAGATATAGTAGTGGAAACGAATCTTACTTTTTCACTCAGAAGATACAGTAGTGGAAACGAATCTTACTTTTTCTCTCAGAAAATACAGTAGTGGAAACGAATCTTACTTTTTCACTCAGAAGATACAGTAGTGGGAATGAATCTTACTTTTTCACTCAGAAGATACAGTAGTGGAAACAAATCTTATTTTTTCACTCAGAAGATACAGTAGTGGAAATGAATATTACTTTTTCACTCAGAAGATACATTAGTGAAAATGAATCTTACTTTTTCACTCAGAAAATACATTAGTGGAAATGAATCTTACTTTTTCACCAGCAGCATTAAATTCTTCTTCATTAACATCCAAAAGCTTCGCTAGTCCAAAATCAGTTATTTTCACACATCCTGGGGTTTGCACTATAGATGAAAACCAAATTATATAATGAATGTACTATTTACTGTAGACACTGTAATATGAAAAAATATGATGAGGCATTCATGTAAGATATTATAGTACTATGATTTACAGAATTTTACGTAAATAAAAAAGAAGCAATTTTGAAACATCTAATCTCGTTTTTTTTCTCTCTCTCTCTCTTCACCTCTTCCAAGCATCGACTTGGTAGATGTGGCCGATGAATTGAATTTTCAGATTTTCTTTGCCTACTAAATGTGTCTGTTTGAAATTTGATTAGTGTTTTAACTTGCTTCACTTCTTGAAGATACCAGTTTGATGAATGTGTTTGCTTGAAACACTCGATGAAGTGTTTTGTACTGATTCTCCTTGGAGTGCTAATAGTTTGAAGAATGTCTCTAAATAAGTAATTTTCACATTAATTATACATATCTTTTAAACACACCACATTCATCTACGTGTTGGGTGAATTAACTAACACTTTAACTTTACACCATCACGAGAACCTGGTTGGGTTTATTTTCTTCACAGTTACTAAACATTAAAGTTTAACTTTACATCTCAGCGACATCTGTGTGCATTAATAATTCTCTGTAATCAGTCTTGTACTTGTATTTTATAGTTCATCCTTCAAGACTTTTGTCTGTTTTTCTGTTTGAAGTTAAGCACGATGCCACACAAGGGGCTATCTGTGCTCTTTCTACTACAGTATCATAACTCAGTTTTTGCTGTTATAAGCCACTGGGAGGTCCAAACTTTTATGTAACTCTTAAAACAGTCATTAAGAAATTTGACTTTATGACTTATAATAATGAGAATTCAATCCAAAATTACTAACAACTGAAATAACATCACTTACACAAGACGTTCCTCAGAGCCAAATCACGATGAACCAATCTCCTCTCTTCCAGATATGCCATAGCCTGAGAAATATAAACAATGATCAGAAGAACAATAATGCAAATGAAAAAGTTTTTACAGCCTATATAGTTATAAAACATACATAAGATATTTATACAAAAATTATTAACTAAATTCATTTACTCTTAAAAACAAAAATAAAAGTTAAATCATTTATTCTTATGAGAACTGAGTCTGACACAAGATATATGAACAGGTAAGACAAGTACCACAATAAGTTTGGTGTTTAATGTGTTTAATGATACTTCAACGGGTAAGACAAGTATCACAATAAGTCTGGTGTTGAGTGTGTTTAAGATACTTCAACAGGTAAGACAAGTATCACAATAAGTCTGGTGTTGAGTGTGTTTAAGATACTATCAACAGGTAAGACAAGTACCACAATAAGCTTTGGTGTTGAGTGTGTTTAAGATATTTCAACAGGTCTTGTCTGTACATTATTTAGGTTTGGTGTATATTAGTACACACTAAGTAGAATGTGAATGATACTTGAGGTCTTGTCTGTACATTATTTAGGTTTGGTGTACATTAGTACACACTAAGTAGAATCTAAATGATACTTGAGATCTTGTCTGTACATTATTTAGGTTGGTGTATATTAGTACACACTAAGTAGAATGTGAATGATACTTGAGGTCTTGTCTGTACATTATTTAGGTTTGGTGTATATTAGTACACACTAAGTAGAATCTAAATGATACTTGAGGTCTTGTCTGTACATTATTTAGGTTGGGTGTATATTAGTACAAACTAAGTAGAATGTGAATGATACTTGAGGTCTTGTCTGTACATTATTTAGGTTTGGTGTATATTAGTACAAACTAAGTAGAATCTAAATGATACTTGAGGTCTTGTCTGTACATTATTTAGGTTTGGTGTATATTAGTACAAACTAAGTAGAATCTAAATGATACTTGAGGTCTTGTCTGTACATTATTTAGGTTTGGTGTATATTAGTAC